GCTGCTGACAGCATAAGGGACGGGGCGGAAGGAGCAAGCACGGACGCCGGCCCATCACTTCCTCGCTGTGATCCTGAGCTGCTCACTGAACCCGCTGAGCCTGTTCCCTCTCGCTACTCAAGGATACTCTCACCCCTCTGTCAGTGCTTTTGGTCCCTAGTAGATCCTTTCCCTCAGCATGTAAATATGCCGATATTTTACCGTCTTTTAAAAACTCCCTTTTGTTAAGATTTTGTCTCTGTTGGTGGAGCTCAGCTGTGCTCCCAGAACTAAGGAGGCTGAGGCAGGGGGTCCCTGTGAGCTAGGGGCCAGCCGGGGCTACACAGTGAGTTGAAGGCTGGCCTGAACTACATTAATGAGACCCTGCCTCAAAAAACAAAAGCAAAAAATTTTTAGTTGGGGGAGAAACCCCTCCCTTTTGCTGAGCACACTTTGGCTGACAGACACCATTCTGCTGCTCCCTTTGCAGCCGACGGCCTCAGAGCTGCCCACACCCGCTGTCCACCTCAGCTCGAGGGTCAGGGTCACTACAGAAGCTGCAGGTGGCTGAGTCAATCCCCAGGTCAAACCCCGGCCCCCTCTCCCGAGTGTGCCGATAACTGGGCCCACTCCGGGCACCTTCTGTCCCTACCGGTTCTCAGGCACCAGCGCTCCTGACCCCCCTTCCCAGCCTCCCTGCCCGCCCCTCTCACCCTGGGCTTGTCCACCCCAGGTGATCTCAGCCCTGGGACTCAGCACCCGGGGGACCCGACTGCCACCGAGCCCCTCAGAACCACCCCTGCTCTGCTTCCAGACATCCCCGCTCAATCCTGGGCTCCCCTGCAGCAGGCGCAGTCCTGCAGCCCACACCCAGGAAGGAGGCGAAGGGCTGGGTCGGAGAAGGGTGGCTGGAGGCAGCCTGGACAAGGGCCTGGGGCCCAGGCGCAGGGCGGAGCCGCACTGGGGTTTGGCTAAAAGTCACCCTGGGCCAGCCCTGGCAGGAAAGGCGGAGTCTGAGACCTGAGAGGCGAGGTCCGGCAACTCCCCAGGGTCACTGCCAGGCAAGTCCTGGCCTGGAGCCTCTCTGGCCTCACCTGGAGTCAGTGGGCTACACCAGTGCTTCCCACCCACCATCCAGCTGTTGTCCCCTGGGAGAAGGCTCCACTCGGTGGATCACTGCAGAGGGGGTGGGAACACACAGGACCTCTAAATAAGTCTTCACTCAATAATAGTGAGGCCTTCCCTAAAATACCAATTCTCCATTACAACCCTAACCCACGGGAGCTTGCACGTGCACACCCGCACACACACACACACGCACACACACACACACACACACACACATACGCACCCACACTGCTGATCTCCGCCTACGTCATCTCCCCATCATGTCCTCCCCTGGTCTATCACATACTGACATCCTGTTGTCCCCCATTATAGGGAACCTCCAATTCCCAGCGATTTCTGTCTTTTACTCACCACTGTCTGAGCTCTTAGAACCCGACATCTGGTGGCTTGGTCAACACCCTGCTTAATGCCCCACTTAGCCCACTGAACCCTCGAAATCACTGTGTGGGGCAGCCCTGATACCCAATCAGAGGGTGCTCGATTCTCATAAAATCACAAAGTGGAGCACAGTGGTGCAGGCCTGTAATCCCAGGGCTCAGGACGCTGTGGCAGGAGGATCGCCTCAAGTTCGAGGCCTGCCTGGGCTACATAGCAAGAACCTGTCTCAGAAAGCCAAAATGAAAAAAAAGGAAGTATTTGCAGTGACCCACGTGTGTCCTCCTGTGCCCTGTCACCCACCGTAGGCTACGGTACCCAGGACCTCAACGCTTCGGGAACAGTTGTCACTCTGCACTGTACAGGGAATGATGACAAGAAGCCTGGCCTCTGCAGGTGCACCTGCAACCTGCTGCTGGCAAACCCCTGAGTGGGACCTGGGGCCCAGAGGCCAGCTGAGCGCTTTTTCTATTTTGGCTGAGCACCGAGCCTCAGAGAAATCGAGCTTGGCCAGGGTGGGCTGAGACCTGCCCAGCTCCAAAGCCACTCCTGTTGCTGTGTTCAGAAGCTGCTGAGAGGGGGCAGAGGGCAGCAGAGGCCTCGGAAGACCCTGCCCGCGCTGCCCACACCCCCACAGGGCTTCCTGGAGAGCAGAGCCCTGGACCCTTTGGCCCTCTGCCTGCTGCTGGCTGGGGTGCAGCTCAGCGGGACACGGGGAGGGCGAGGAGAGGGCAGGCCTGCTGGAGCAGCCTCACAAACACCCAGTGCAGGGGTGCTGGGGAGCTCCAGCTCTCCAGGGTCCCCTTGGGCATGGTATACCCTGGGCCCTGCCTCCCCGACCCGCTGGGACCATCGCCCCGCCCACAGCACCTGCAGAGAGAGTGCCTCAAGGGTGGGCGGGAGACTGGATTTCCTGGGCCTCTCATCTCCAGCCCCTGGGAGGGCATCTTTGGGGCTGACCCCACTCAGGCCCCCTGGGCTTCAGCAGGACTCCGAATGTTTGTGGGACCCAATAAACAAGGGTCAGAGCCAAAGCCGGAGACTTCTGGCATCAGGAGCCTGGGCAGGGGAGAAGGCCTCCACTCTGCCCCTCAGACACCTGCTGGGCCCATGTCCTCCCCAAGACAGCACCCACAAGACCAGGGCAGGGCCCAGGGTTCCTCCTGCTTTTGTCTTTCTTTTTCCTTTTCTCTTTTCAGTACTAAGGAGTGAACCCAGGGCCTTTGAATTGAGCTATATCCCCAGCCCTTTTTAATACTGTATTTCAAGATAGGGTCCCAGGGCTGGGGATGTAGCTCAGTGGTTCCGCTGCCTGCCTCGAAAGCTCAAGGTCCCGAGTTTGATCCCCGGTACCAAAGGAAAAAAAAAAAAAAAGGCTAGGGTCCCAGTAAGTTGCTAAGTTGCCCAGGGTGGGCTGGAACTTGCGGTCCTCCTGTCGCAGCCTCCCAGAGCGCCCTGTGTCAGGCTTGAACCACTCTGCCTCTTAAAAGAGCAAAACAGCACAACTGGCTCCCTGAGACTCATGTTTAATAACTGTGGGCTGAGAACACGAGCCAGCATTGTTACTGAAGCCCTTTACTCCACAGCGCACCCCGAAAGTCACGGCAGATCCAGGGCACACTGACGCAGGAGCAGCGGGGAATGCAGGAGGGCCTTGGGGAGAGAAGAGACTGCCCTACGGGGAGGGGGACGCAGAAGTGCAGCTGGACTCTGCTACTCCGAGGTGTTTGCTTGTTTGGGGTATTTTCTTGCCTTGCAGAAGCAAGAAGGAACTTGAGCCGCCCGGGGCCAGGCCTTCCTCGCCTGGCACCTAGTGTTCTGGGGCCGGAAGAAGCCCAAGTCCCAGCTGGTCCGGACTCTGGAGGGCAGAGGGCCTGGGGTCGGGCAGCTCCAGGGCTGGGAGCAGCAGCTGAGCCCCAGGAACACACAGCCGGGAGGGCTGAGCTCTCCCCGGCCAGCACCAGCCTCTGCCCCTCTGCCCTGCGCTTCTCTAAACCGAGTCACGGCTCCATGTTTCCGGTGAGATTTCTCTCTTTTACTCCCAGTTTGTGCAGTGAGTCTTGCGGGTGTGGGAGGGGAGCAGTGCGTTTCTAACTTCTCCCCATTTTCCTTCTGAGCCCTGCAGGCTCTCACTTCCTCCCCAACTCTCAGTTCTGCCGTACAGGCTGCCCAGGTCATGAGACCCCTGCCCTTCCTTTCCGAGCACCAGGAAAGCAGAAGTGCCTGCTACCGGCTGTGTTCAAGGGGCCTCCGGGCAGCTCCGAGCAAAGGGAAGGGCGGGCAGGGCCTCCTGGGGCAGGCACCCTGGGCTAGGGCAGGGCTCTGGGCCCCTCCTCTCACCTTCCCCTCCTTGGGCTCTTCGGCCCAGGGTGTCAGCCTGCCGCAGCACCCTCAGCTCCTCCTGCCAGTCTAGGTTTTAGGACCCCACCACAGGGCACAGGGCCCAGGGAGGAGTGGGCCTTGGCCCGACTTCCTGAAACCTCAGTCCCTTCTTTCAAAGTTTTATGTAGACCTAGCTGAGAATCAGAAAGCCCAGTTCTCCATCAAAGCCCAGTTCTCAAGCCACAATCCAAGCCCAGTTGTTCCCAGCCAACAGCGGCAGAGGCTGGCAGGTCCTTCTCTCTCCAAGCTCAGGTACCACGGCCGCCAGGAGTGCAGCCCACGCTCTGCCCAGGGCGGGAGCTGGGAGCGGACCCCGTGCGCCCAGGAGCACCACAGGTCTCTCGGTGGAAGAGCCCGCCCAAGGCCGCCCAGCTGCGAGAAGCCTGCCCACCACCCCGCGGTTTTCCGCTGCGTCCTCAAAGCCCTCGGGCCGAAAATAAACGCTAGAGAAGCGGCTGGCCAGCTGTCCCAGAGCAGAAACGAGACAGGCGACAGCACGCAGGGGGAAGGCAGGCGGGCGCGGGGCGCAGGGCGCGGGCCGCAGGAGCAGGGGCCCCGCCGCTCCCGCCCCTCTTCGGCCGAGGGGCGCCCGGCGCTGCCAGCCCCAGGGCTTGGTGCCTCGCTGCCGCCAGGCCGAGTCCCAGCCCGGGACGCGCGGCTCCGTGACTCAGCGCCCGTGATGTCAGCGCCTTCGGGGCCGCGAGGAGGAGCGGGCACTGGTGCAGCCGCCCCAGGAGGACGGCGCCTCGCCGGGCCTCACCGCGGCGGGGAGGCCGGGCCGGCCGAGAGTCGGTTCGGAGGACGCGCCGTCTGATCGCACCTTGCCCGCCGCCCGCCGCCCGCCGCCCGCACCCGCGCCCGCGGCCCGGCCTTACCTGGCGCCGAGCAGACCCGCGCCTGCCCCGGCACGGCCAGCAGCGCGGCCAGCAGCGCGCAGGCGGCGGCCAGCATCGTCCTCGCGCCCGGGCTCGGCCGGCCCGGCCCCACTCGCGCGTGGCTCGGAGCGGCGGGCCGCGCAGGCAGCGGCGCAGGGCGACATTTGAGGAACTCGCCGCGTTGCTGGGCGGCCCCGTGCGGTTACGAAAGCGAGCGGTGGCGCAACAGCAGCCGCCCGCGCCCGCAGGGGGCGCCGCCCGCGCCGCGCACCTGGCCCGGCCTCTAGGGCCGCGAGCCGAGGGCCCTGGGGAAGTTGCGCTGCCCGGCTCGCCCCGCAGGCACCCGCGGAGCCCCGGGAGATCCCGGGGGGTTGTCCTCGAGCTGAGCCAGACGCCGGAGAGACCGGGGTCCCCTCCTGTGACTGCGGTGTCCTGACGGTGCCCGAAGTCCTGCGCCCCGGCCCGTGGACACCAAGACCTCTGGAGGCGACAGCCCTGCCGCTGGGACATAGGTGTTCAAGGGGGACCTGCAGGGCAGCCCTCCCGCCCAGCCCCCTGAAACTGGCCCTTGACCCCTTGGCAGGGCCACCAGGCTCCCCAGAGCCGAGGCTGGTAGAGGGCTCCAGAGCTATCTGGAGGGGACAAGCTCGGTATGGGCGTGGCCTGATGGAACCCCAGACCCGGGACCAGAGCTGCTGCTGAAGAACCCCGCCTTTGCAGCTCCCTGAGGGAGCCCTGCCCTGGGGCCCTGGGGCCACTCCAGCCTCACTGGAGCCCCAGCCTCTCCTGCTAACTAAAATGGGGCTGCTGCAGCAGGACTGGAGCACGTCCCCACTGTGGCTGACCCCTCCCCTCTGTGGCATACACAGTCCTGGAAATGATCGCAGAGGGACTGCCAGCTGCCTGCCTGGAGCAGGGAGGCTGCAGAAGCCGTCTGCTCAGATAGGAGTTTCCTGGAGGGGTTTGATGCCAGGAGCAGGCATCTCATGCCCACCTGGCACCTGCACCCCAGTGGGCTGCCCCTCAGCTCCCCTGCGGAAGGGTCAGCTCCTCTGTCCTGGGTGGTCTCCATCCCCACGCCTGCCCAGGATTCTCTCACTGCGGTCGCTCACTCGGTGCCCTTGTTGCAGCTGATCCCTCACTGATCTTGCCCTTCCTTTGCTCTGCCCCTCACTGCCCTGCAGGTGCAGCTCAGATGTCTTCCCCAGAAAGCTTTCCCGGAGCCCCTCATCTGTCCAGCTGCGGCTCCCTGTGCTCCCTCCAAACCTGTGCTGACTGCAATACCACGAACCCATCCGCGTCCTCACTGCTGAGGGGGGCCTGGCACACAGTGAGGGCCTTGTCTGGGAGATGTGGCCTCCCCTGGACCCTGAGCAACTTCATGCCTGAACTTTATATGAAGTGCAAGATCAGAATTCTTAGGCCAGCTGGTTTGGTAGTACACACCTGTAATTCCAGCACTTAGGAGGCTAAGGCAGGGGGATCAAAATTTTGAGCCCGGTCTGGCAGATTTAGCAACTTAGGGAGACCTTGTCTCAAAATAAAAAGGGCCCACCAGGTGTGGTAACTCACCCCTGTAGTCCCAGCCCTCAGGGGGCTGAGGCAGGAGGATCGTCATGAGTTCAAGGCCAGCCTGGGCGCCATAGTGAGTTCAAGTTCAGCCCGAACTTCATACTGTCTCAAACCCCACCCCGCAAGAAAGGGCTGGAGAAGTGGCTCAGTGTGAACTCTGGGTTCACTCCCCAGTATTCCAGGGAAAAGGCAAATCTTGGGCCAACATTCCAAGTTGTTGAAAAGCACTGATAAGGAAGGGGAGAAACACACCTGCCCAGCATACCGGGCCTCGCCCGTCCTGGTTCCTGATGCCAGCACCGACAGTCTTTGTCCCCTGGAAGGACAGAAGATGAGGAGTTGGCCAGCTCCAGGGTGTATGCCAGGCGGGACAGTGAGGACCTCTGGACTCCGGAAACAGAAGTGGGAAGCACACAGGGTTGAAGCCCAGGGGTCTCAGGCACCGCCGAGACTGCACAGAGGGACAGGAAGGACTCAAGCCTCAGAGCCAGACTCCTCTCGGGCACCTGTGCTGCTCGCCCGGCGCTTCCTCCGTCTCCAGGAACTTCTCTCCCCTTGGACTGGAAGGCCTCATCAGAGGAGGCTCAGAGGGGTGCAACTTCCCAGAACCCCAGCCATCGGCTCCGGGCCCAGGACCAAGCACATGGTGGGATGTCCGTGTGCCCTCGGGACAGGCACGGGGGAGTAGGCAGAAGGAGGGTGGAGGAGCAGCAGGGGCTTTGGGGCCTCCCAGACCAGCTCTGCCTCTCAGGGGTCCATGGTTACCCTGCGTCTCCCCTAAGGGGAAGCCCCCACTGCCTCCTGCCCAGCAAGCAGGCCTGCCTCGCCTCTGCCCTATAGTGATTCGGCTTCCAAAAGTTGGCCAAAGACAGAGACACCCGAGGCCTCCTAGAAAACATGCCTAAGATTGATTTTAACCCCAAAAGGCCTCAGTTCAAGCCTGCTCCCCCTTTCTTCCCTTTCAGACAAGGAACCGAGGTCTCCAGGGTGAGGGTGCTCAGGGAGTTGGTGACGGGTGACCTGGTGTCCCCATCCCCACCTCAGGCCTGGCCAAGGCCTTCGGGAGTGTAAAGCAGCACCTTGGGGCCGGGGAAGGAAGGACTCGGAGGCACCTGGGGCCCATCTCTGCTGCTGGATCGGTGCTGGGCCCCTGGTCACCCACACTGCTGGGGCGGGCCTCTGGGCAGCTCCCCTCCGCCCTCTCTCACTGGCCTGGAAGGAGGTGAGGGGGATCAAGCCATCACGGCCCCCGAGTCCCGCTGCTCCCTCCCCTGCCCAGCTGGAGAGACCCCTGTTTCCACAGCCTCGGCCCTGCAGCAGCCAGGCTCCCAGCAGAGGTGATGAACACCAGTTCAGCCCTGAGATGGACTCCAGCACTGCCTCAGGAAGGGGTTATGAAGCCTTCACCCCTTTCTTTTATAGTAAACTTATAGGATGTTGTGCTTTTCTAACTCCACTTTTTTTTTTCCTTCGGTTTTGTAACTCTTAAGGAACATCATCCCTGAAATTAAACCTAGCACTTCTGTGTGATCCAGAAGTTTCATTTCTGGACAGATACACAAAAAATTGAAAGCAGGGACTCAAGCAGATGTTTGTACCCCATGCCCCTGGCTGCATTAGTCATCGTAGCCCAAAGATGGAAAAGCCCAAATCCAGATAAATGAATAAACACAATGGAATACATCCATATGCTGGAATATTATTCGGCCTTTCAGGAAAGCAAGCGGACGCAGGCTCCAGGGGTGAACTTGCAGACAAGCGGGCAGGTAAGGCCTTCACTTCCCTGGGGCCTGGAGATCAGGTGCATAGAAGCAGAAGTAGAATGTTGGTCATCAGTGATCAGAGGGAGGAGGGGAGGGAGGCCGTTGTTTAATGGGTACAGAGTTTCCAGTTTACAAGCAGGAAGGCGGAGCCAGGCGTGGTGGCAAATACCCACCATCCCAGCACCTGGGAGGCTGAGGCAGGAAGATGTAAAGGTTCAGGCCAGCCTAGACTTTAGTCTGACACTGCCTCAAAAATAAATAAATAAATAAAAAGATGAAGAGTGATGGTGGCTGCACAATAACGAGTGTGCTCAACGCCACTGCGCTGCATGCTTAAAAATGGTCAGACAGTGGGTGCGGTGAGTGCCAGTGACCCCGCTACTCTGGGATCTAAGACAAAAGGATCCTAAGTGCAACCACAGCCAAGGCCAGCGAGACCCCGCACCCCCAAAATTAAAAGGGCTGGGGATGTAGCTCTGGCAGAGTTCTTACCTAGCGTTAGGGTTTAGATTTTAAATCTGCTGGGCATGGTGGAGCATACCTCTAATCCTAGTACTCGGGAGGCGGAGGCAGGAGGATCGCTTCCAGTTGGAGGCCAGCCTGGCCTGTGTTGGGCACAAGTTCTCTGGTGTTGCAACAGGACAAAAGAAAACAAACTTCCAGAGTTCCTTGGCAAGGCAGACTTCACTTCTGCAGAAGCGTGAGGAGCTGGACAAAAGTAATCGAGTGTGCTGAGCTGGCTTTGTCCCTGATGCACTGGGACCCTGTGCCCGATCCCCTGGTGGGAGTGTGCCCTCAAGCCTCCAGTGACTGGCTAGTGTCACGCAGGCAGGGCTGCTGGACAGAGCGGGTTCTGTGAGCCAGAAAGCCCTTTGTTACAAAGGGTTACGGCAGGTGGACAGGCACATCGCTCTTGGTCTCGAGTTTTCTAGGAACGGTGAAGCGAGCTCATGTGTATTCTATAAAAATAGGATTTTGCAAAAAGAGGGGTGCTTATAAAGTGGAGTTATTTTAATTATCTCCTTTGACAGAAAAAACTATGTTTTCCACAGCTACATAGTAACTTCAAGATCATCCTAGACTACATAGCAAGACCCTGTCTCAAAACAAACCCAACATGAAAAGTCTCCAGCGTTCAGAGTGGGGCTGCTGAAGGTGATGGATCATGGGGGCCCCTTGCAGTCCTGGGGCTGTGACCTGGAAGATCACTTCCTCGTCCCCAGATCCTCCCTCTCCACTTCTTGGGCACCATCTGCAGCAGATTTACTCTGATGCCCCTCTGCCACGGAGCAGTGCCTGTGGACTAAGCTGTGAGCCCAAGTAAACCTCTCCTCTGTTGAACTGTGGGTGTCGGGTGTTGTGCCTTAGTGGTGAGCAAAGTGACTGAGGTACCCAGCACCTGCCAGGCCCTGGAGCTCAATCTCTAGTACCACAAAAAGCCAAACAAAGATTGGCCAGCCTAGGGCCAGGATTTAGCTCAGTGGTTTCGCCGCCTGCCTCAAAAGCGCAAGGACCCAAGTTCGATCCCTGGTACCAAATAAAGAAATAACATAAATAAGTAAATATCTAAAAAAGATAGGCCGGCCTGGTGGCATGTGCCTACAGTCCCCAAGCTCCAGGAACTAAGGTACCTGAGCACTCTCCTTATCCGTGAGATGGGAGCAGGAAGAGTTTCTACTGCACAGGGCTGCTGTGAGGGTCACAGTCCTGGCACCCGGAGATGTGCAGGAAAGGATACCCTGGCCTGACAGGAATCTCCTCACCCGCCCAGGAAGTGGGAGAAGGAGGTGCTACCCACAGTCTAGTTTTTCTGTCAGCTGAACGTTTCCTCAAAGGAAAGGTTTCTCCACAGTAACCATTTTCATGAGTCTTTGTCTCACAGTACACTGCTCTGGGGCGTGAAGTGGTCACACTGAACATCACTGTCCTCCCTTCCCCATGCTGTCCACCCGCCCCTCCACACTGGGTCTTTCCCACTGTGAGACATGAACAACTCCTTTCCAGTTACTTCCTTGTCTTGCTCACAGCAGAACCTCTCACTGAGCAGCTGGTGCTTTCTCTCACTTTGTTCTGAGACAGGGCCTCATGAGTGGCCCTCTGGGCTTCAAGCTCCTGGGCCCCAGCGACTCTCAAGCCCCCACCAGGACCAGGAGTCACCACCAGACGCCCCTTGCAGGCCCCACTGTCCCCCCTCGAGCCTGCCTCCTGCCAGCTGCCCCTCTGCCCACAGACAGCAGCGGTGACCAGGATCCAGCCCTGTCCCTGTGGATGGCATCAGAACAGGGCGCTCAGTGCCTGGATCAGCCTGTGCAAGGGTTGATGTACGGCTCACGCTGGCCCCCAGGGTCACCTTCGGAAGAGAGGAAGGATCCAGTCATGGTCCGTGCTCACTCAGGGTCCTGTGAGTCTCGTGAGGGAGGTTTTATCCAGGGTTCGTGAAGAAAAACCCTGCATCAATAAAAGAATTAGAATGTGCGTTCAGAAGCAGAAACAAAATCACTGTATCGGAAAGGGAAGAGAATTGGGGAGCTTTGGTCCAAGGCCCCTCCGTCTCAGGGCGGGAAAGGGGGCCTCCATTGGGCGGTGTCACAGCTCAGGGCTGCCCCAGCCCGAGACCCCAATTGGCCACTGCCTAGGTGTCATCTTCCACAAGCCCTTCTGTGCTCTCTTGCTGTCCAGGTGCTCCTCTTGGGAGGTTAACAGCAGAGGCCATTCTCAGCTGAGGCAGTGGAAGGGTACAGGTGGAAGAGACTGATCCCCTCCCCACCAAACCCACCGTGAGTAGACGGAGTAGACGCTGGCTTTCCCCAGGGGGCCTGCTGTTGAACTGTACCTCAGGCCAGGAAGCATCTTCCAGGACCCCGCTTTCCTGGGGAGATTCCTTGACCACCACAAGCAAGGAAGGATATGACAGGAGCCCAGTGGACCCAACTCCTTTAGAACACAGGAAATTAACTTTTGATACCCATGCATTGGTTCGGGATTTAGAAACCAAAAGTGGATTTGACAAAGCACAAACAGAAACAATTGTATCAGCATTAACCACTTTATCTAGTGTCAGCCTGGATACTAGCTACAAGGAGATGGTCACTCAGGAGCAACAGGAAATAACAGTTCAACAGCTAATGGCTCATTTGGATTCTATCAGGAAAGATATGGTCATCCTAGAAAAAAGTGAATTTGCAAATCTAAGAGCAGAGAATGAGAAAATGAAAATTGAATTAGATCAAGTTAAACAACAACTGATACATGAAACCCGCGGAATCAGAGCAGCTAATAAAATGGACATCAACCTAGAAAGGAGCACAGTAACAGATACGTTTACAGATCAAGAAAAGCAACTTATGGAGGCAACCACAGAATTTACCAGAAAGGATACCCAGAAGTGCTATTTCAGAGACCAGTAATAAAACTGACGCTTAAATTGCTTCCTTAAAAACACTGATGGAGGGCCGGGGATTTAGCTCAGTGGTTCCACCACCTGCCTCACAACCGCAAGGTCCTGAGTTCGATCCCTGGTACCAAAAAACACAAAACAAACCACTGATGGGGTCTAACAAACTTGAGCTTGCTTGGCAATAGCTTTGGGATTTTGTAGATTCTGGAAGTACTACTAATGCTGCTACCACTGCTGCTAATGACTTCTTAAAACACTACCCCAAGACAGATTTTCTTTCAACCCTGTCAGTTGCTGAAGAAACTTATTACAAGATTATCAAAGTACGTATGGACTAGAAAAGCGTTTCAGGTATTTCAACTTTGTTTTGTGTCTTTATTTTATGTTGAAAAGCTGTCATCCAAACCTGATTTATATGAGATGAAAAAGCATTCTGTCCCTAAGCTTTTTTTTTTTTTTTTGGTACTAGGGATTGAACTCAGGACCTTGCACTTGCAAGGCAGGCAGTGGAACCACTGAGCTAAATCCCCGGCCCTTCCCTAAGCTTTTAATAGCTCATAGAAAAGGAAACAGAGTCCCATTTGACCCAGCTATTCCCCTGGTGGGAATCTTCCCCAAAGAATTAAAAGAATCATACCACAGCGATGTATGTGCACCCATGTTTATAGTGGCACAGTTTGTAATAGCTAAAGCTTGGAAACAGCCCACGTGCCCATCAACTGGAAACTGGATAAAGAAGATGTGGTTTTATTATAAAATGGAGTACTACTCAGCCATAAAGAACGAGAAACTAGAGACATTTATAGCTAAATGGATGCATATTGAGGCCATCCTCTTAAGTGAAATAAACAGGACACACATGTAAATACTGAAGTTTCTCTAGCGTGAGAAACTGAAAGTGTAAATAAGGATGAAAATGATTAAAATGAATAATTGATAATTTGAAATAGGAAAAGGTCCAAAGACGAAGGAGTGAAGGGAGGGGAAGGGGAAAGGAAAAGAGGGAAAGGAAAAACTATGAGAAAGAAAAAAAAATGGAAACAAAGTCTATGTAAATAGGGAAGGGTGGAGGGGGTGAAGGGCCCACAGGTAATGGGGGAAAAATAAGAACCAAGATACATCATGTTCAGGTACAAGCACCCAGTGATAAATGTAAACAAATTGTAAAACTAAAATGTACCAATAAATATATAAATAAAAAAAATTCTGTAAAAAAAAAAAAAGAAAAGGAAACAGAATTTTCTTGAGTATGAATAACTTTACAAATAAAATTTTGTTGATTTAAAAAAAAAGAAAAGGGGGCCAGGGATTTAGCTCAGTGGTTTCGCCGTCTGCTGCACAAGCGCAAGGACCCGAGTTCGATCCCCGGTACCAAACAAAACAAAAGGAAACACCTGCGTTTCCGTGTATTAATATGGCGAGAATAATAAAGTGGATATGAGCTGTGTGTGCAGGGCGTGTGAGTGACGAGGTCTTAGTGCACAGTTTACACACTGAGTCTTTATAATGCCCCCCCTTTGTTTCTTC